ACAGAATTACTGATAAATTCATACTCACTACAACTCATTCCTTTATAGTCCAGTGTCACAGCTATCACTGCTAGGCACTGGACTACTACAAAGAAACAAACAGCAAAATACTCTTCCTAATGGCACAGGTAACAACTTTTACCCATCTTTAAAGTGCTGAAATGAAGAATTAACTATCCTGTTCAGAGTAAATCATCACCTTGTACTTAGAAACAAGTTCCAAACACATTCAAGTGTGAATGTGTTGCAATTTTGCATAATCAAGTAAATGAGCTTGGTTAGTACATGTGTATTGAAGAAAACTAGCTTAAAAACCCAGAACTTAATGCCATTTTAAAAAATGTTACCTTACCTTGGCTCATGGATGCTATGCTAAATACAGATACTACACTAAAGAAATAATTTCGCTGCTTTATTCTACTACAAAACCTCTACCCATGCCAATGTATCTTTTTTGTTACCCACCTGACATTAGCAACTCACGATTTTACGTCCACCACTGCTGACAGAGCGTACCGATTCTGAGATACTGCACCTTCCTTCCATTTACCGTACCTTCCAGTCTCTGGAGTGAGCCTCAGTGGTCCCAATGCAGTTTCCAACTACTGTTAAGATGTACGGGCAATGCTTCTGGGTTGTCAGAGCAGAGCATCCCATACTCTGTGCTTCAGCTGCTGTGTGAATGCCAGGGAGATTCTGACACTCACGGACACGCGAGGATAAGCGCGCCCTAACGTCCTGGGAACTCAAGGTAGGCCATTTTCTAATTTCTAGCCCATTAGAAAATCCCCCCCCCAAAACCCCATTTACAAGTCATTTAAACCCAGCTGTTTTCTTTTTCCTTTCCTCTATTTTTAAGCCAGAAAGATGCTGTTACCTTTCCAGCCAGATCACTGCCCTTCAACAGCTCCAAAGAGAGCGCCTCCTAAGACCTTTCACCATGAAAAATTCATGCCACTGTTCTGCATCAGTTCTAAGAGCTTTTCCTCTGGGACCACAAATCCTGTGGCCAGGCACAGCTCTTCCATTTCGGAGAGCTCTGAGCACTCATCCTACTCTACAAAGCTAATGCAAATAAGGATGGTAAAAATTCTACAGCATCGATCAGCTCAAATCTAGAAGAGCAGACGCACTTTGAAGCCTTCTTTAGCTTTAAAAATGTGGTTTCTCAGTGAGTGAGATCTCCAGTCTCTTTTTTTCCTGATTTTTCTCCTTGTACTAAATAAAATTCAACCTATCTATGTAAAACCACATTCAGATACAAAAGCTAAAGATATCCTATTGTAGTACTTAAAAGTTGTTTTACGTTATCAAATGTTTGGTTTTGGTAAATTTAAAATTAAACTGAGAGTTCGAAAGTACAAAGCACGCAGCATCATAACCTCCACAGAGTGCTTCAGTATTCACTGCTTGGTCAGCTAGAAATGGCCATGCTACAGATGCGTCTTCCAAAGCCGACATTCTCTGGTAATCTCTCCTTCACAAAACACCAGTGGAATGCAACCTGAATTTTGGACTCAAAAAGGTGATCAAAGTGAGGCGCTTGTCCCTCAAGTGCAAAAAGAACTGGAGCTGGCCGTGTATTAGCAAAATCACTAACACTGATCAGGTTCTGAAACTGCCAAAAGCTCTGGCTCCTGAATGCTCTGAAAAAAACCCTAATTTGATATAGTCAAGCTAATTTTCTTCAGAGACCATCAAAATCCCTTTAGAATATCCTTAAGACTCCTTGGTTTTTTGTGATCTTTTGGATAGAACAACATACCCAACATCTATAAATGTATCAAGAGTCTCTGAACAGCCATGCTTAAAAAAAAAGTTACAGAAAACCCCCTTTGTCTTACTAAAAAATGTGCACTATTCAGGCAGGTCTAGCGCAAAACCTTTAGCAAACCTGAAGGTCTCTTCAACAGCCTTATTTGTCACAGAGGCATAAACAACTACACGGTAACCAAGAACTAAGTAGGGGGAAAAAATGCAGGCATTTAAACCCTATATATGCTAAGGGCATTAAGAACTAGGTAGTCGTCTAATCTTTCCTATTGACTCCCGCAAGATGCAAAGATCTTGCAATCCAGTAGCAAACCCCAGCAGACACACCTATTAAAAAAAGACCATTTCCTTACGCTCCACATGCAGCATGCCTGCAATTACTCAGAAAAAAAAATTAAAATGCATTTAAGGATGACAGCAGTGAGATCACGTCTTACAGCACACCCATTAATGGCAGGATTCAAAGAGCAGCAAGTGCAAGCAAGAGACTGGTCCTCTGATTAAAATTAAGTAACCTGTTAAGTAGCAAGGTTAGAATGGAAAGTATCCATTCCGAGATACTGCTAAGCTACAATTAAAATCTGCAGGTTAGAATGACCCTTACCATTTGCTTAAGTATTGGTCAAAGCAGAACATGTGCATTACTGCAAGCAATAAATACCAACCCTAACAAACATTAACCTTTATTATTAGTGACTAATGATAATAAAAGGTGTATTTATATACTGTGCCCTTGCTATTTCCCGAATTAAAGTTGAAAATTACTTTTTACGATTTAATTGGTAAATAGCATTTGAAAAAGTTCAAACTACACTGTTTAGACAGGACCAGCCCACAGAGTGTTTGCTTCTGCAGCCCCTTGGAATTTGAACTCCTTGACCTCTTCATCTATGTATATATTGGAGAGGGAAGGAATCTCTTCCCATGGCTGTAAAATGCCATTTCTCTTGTCCACGAAGAAAACAACAGTAGAATCCTTGAACTCAATATTTATTTTTTCCTTAAGTGGCCGAGGAAAAGGATTGCCAGTAAAACTGCAAATCCTTTAACAAGTTTATAGCATCCCAAGAAGATTAACCCCTAAAGCAAAACTAGACAATAAATGAAGATACTTTTCCATTTTTATAAGGAAACACAGGCTAGTTAAGGTCAAGCCACTGGCAGAGATTTAAGATGCCTAATGAACAGATGGGAACTCTCCAAACACACATTCCAGGCTGACGAAAGAATCTGGTTGCTTAGGCAAAAACTCAAACAACGTATTTTCAGTGTTGCCTTTATTGCATCTGAGGAAACAAAGTGGAGTATAGATCTGATGCGGAAAGAAAAGACACCTGAAAACATCACAAGACATACAGAACATTCATCTGCAGGAAAATGTTAAAGATTACGTACACTAATTCTAAAAAAATTCCTAAGCAAAACTTTACTTAACATGGAATTAAAGATAACATACTCCATTATCTTTTCACCAAAATTACATAAGGCTTTTTTCCCCTTTTCTTGTTGCTCTGGAAATTCCAGAGTAGAGATGATATGAAAGGTGTGTCTACCTCATTTTGAGGGACAAGACCCCATAATATGATTCCCCCCTTTTTTTCTTGTCACATTAGCTATTTCAATGGTCTCTGTGGCATTTCAGGAAAAACGTGGGAATAATAAGATTATAAATCTTAATTTCGAAATTATCAGCTATGGAGAACATAGAAGTACCTTACATAATATCTGATCCCAAACAAGGCATCTGCAATTGATGGCTATGAAAACATCAGTATATTTAATCCTACATCACAATTACCATGAAAAATATTTTAAAAGTCCTTGTAAAAGATGCAGAAAAAGGAGTAAGCTGTTGCTATCTGTCTTTTCATATGCTTGCAGTAAGACTAGAATTTTAACCCTCTTCATTCTGTTTATCTGTAGGAAAAAAAGAACTTTTGTCCAACCATTGTTCAGATGGCAATTGTTGAACAAGTTAGTTAGGATGCAAGAGCTTAACTCTATTCCTGTGAGAATTAAACAAGAAAAACAGAGGAAAAATTAAGACAGTGAGTTAAAAAAAAAAAATACAGCTTTGGTTTTCTTTTCAGTACTGACATCACTTTGCAATGTCAATCTTGGAGAAAGACATTCACAGCACAGTCTGGCTCAACCACTACAAAACATGGCAAATAGAAACCAATCTAAGTCTGTTTCACATTTTCTTAAGAGTCCATTTTTAGTCACAGATTTACATCAACATTACAAAAGACAGGAATTCCTGTTGATCAAGCCTGCATGCTTAAACAGAAGGTTAAAGAAAAAAAGAAAGAAAAACAACTGCCAAATCAGGTGATCAGGATACAGTTTTGCTGAACTTAGGTCCAACGATGTGGTCTTATTTCCAATCCTGTACTACTATTGTTCATGAGGCGTTATCTTAACAAGGTAACACATCGTAACATCAGCGACTGACACCAGTACATCTTTTAGCTTTTAACAGAAGATGTTTATTGAAAAAAAGTCAGCTGAAGTTAGAGCAGGTTGATCAGGACTTACCAGTTTGGATGTGGTACAGGAAAGGAGCTGTACAACATCGTTGCCAAAAACAATGACGTGAAACACGATTAAGGGGTTTTTGGCAAGTATTTTAGGGATGACTAGCCGGAATGAAAGAAGCTACCTTTTTTCCTGGATATACAACTGTATAGAAATAGGAAATGGCATTTGTCACTAAAGCAAGATTTTTAAACATCTAAAAACCCGAAAAATTAATTGGAACTGCAAGGGAAGGGAACACAAGCTGCCCACTCAGCTGCCTTCAGGTTAATGAAAAACAAAGGGAAAATTTCTGCTCACACTTCTCTGCCTTCTCAAACTAAAAACATCAACTATTTTTATAGGATGCAGCTAACATCTCGACAGATGTTTTTAATGCACCCACAATACGACAATTACTTTAAGGTTATCTTTCCAAAGCATTTCTAAATTAGAAATTGCTTGATATAAAAATCAAAGTAGACTCTTCAAATTATGGTTCACTCTCACTATGTAATATACCACTTAGGTACTGGACAAACATCCCCACGAATGGAACAAAGACTTTTTTTTTCAAAAGATAAACTAATTGGACTATTGGTTTACCTGTGGCTCCTATCTCAAAGCTTCTTGGCTGAGAATGGGTTTAATAATTACCTTTTATAACCTCTGTACTTAAGCTGCTGCTGCTTCTGCGTATTCTGGTTTCAGACATGGGCACGTCTTGCTGTCTAACTGACTGGTAAATCTAACGGGAGAAATACACTATACAAAGATTCCTGGACCCGATTAACACCAAACAAATATAAATAAGGTAAGTGAAAGTATGAATTGCTAAAAGGTGATGATTAAAATATTCTAAATACATGACTTTAAAGAGAGAAGTTGGGCACAACGCTGTAACAAAATTCAGTGACCCAAGCCCGGCATTCCTTACATGGGCAATTTTCTACTGTAAGTTCAATCTTAAAAGTTGGATTCATGATGATTTAAAAAAAATAATAATCTTTAATTCAAAATCTAAACCAGATGTCTTTCTAGCCCAACTGTTTCTGAAGACCAGCAGTACTGAGACAGGTGCTCTGTCAATTTAAAACGCTACAATTCTTGTAGCCAAGAATTACTGAATTCTAGTAAGCTGCCTAAACACGAGGC